AAGCAACTGAGAGTTTAGCTGTTCTGAAATATTGGAATACATAAAAAAAATTGGATCGGGTCTGAAAACAAGAATTATAATGATTTTTTCTCAAATATTACATAAATCAGGAAGAAAAGGAGTCTATTAAACAAAGCAGAAATTGTTGCTCAAATAACACCTTGGATGTTAGCCGTTCATTGTTCTGTGAGGATTGGAATACCCAAAGGTGGAGTTTGATAGCGTCAGAAAAATATTTTAAATCTTGAGAGGCCAGCTAGAGTAGCCAAAAAACATGTTGTATCGCATTTTGTTTAGTCTATCCAAAAATTATGAAAGCTTATCGCATTTTGTCTAGTCTATCCAAAAATTATGAAAGCTATTTGTTGAGAACAGAAGTTCTAAAAAATAGCCAAACTCAGAGTTGGCAAAGACCATTGGAGATTCTGAAAACTATAGGGACATCAAAGAAATTTGAACAAAAACATTGCTAAAAAGAGGAGAAAGTTCTGCATTGACTACATCTCAGAGCATTTGTTTATCATTATTCTAAGTGGTTTGAGCATTCTGAAAAACGGCACCAACTTTTGGACCCGCCTAATATAATGTAAAATTACCAGATTTGCTTGAGTAAGGCGGTAATCTCTTTTGGCGTTCCTTCTGGTGGAGCCGGCATTTCTGCTTTTCTTATGGATCTAATTATTTCCAAGTCCTCCACTCCAATGAAAGGCTTGAAATAGATTTTTATTGACGATGACTCTACGTGAAAAAGTGCGTAAGTACTTTGCTTCCATTACTGAACACTTCAAATATAACGGTACCAAACGCCCAAACATCCGTCTTTTTGGAAAAGGAGGGTATTTTGTAACAGCATTCTGGTGCAAACCATCTAAAAATGGCAGCCACTTTACGGTAAAGATTCTTGCCTTCTATGTGTACAGAAATTTCACCTTATAGGAGCTTCTTGTATTATAGTCTTACACATGGTTTTTCCTTTCTCCAGCATGACACTCAAACCAAAATCGGCGACTTTCACAACTCCCTAAAGGACTGCGTTTCATCCGTAGAAATGCGTTTGTTGGAGGCTTGCTCACATTACTGGAAATCAAGCAATTCCTCGCAGCTAGATCCCGGTGAACACATTTCATCGAATGCAGGTACCGCATGCCACAAGATATCTGCAAGTTTACTTGCAAATTTCCACTATATTACAATTAGCGTGTACTCACTTCATATAAATATATGCTTTTTTCCGTATCACTGATGTCCTTTCCTCGTTTCCGCAACAAATTGTCTAAACTTCCTCCGGAACATAACTCCATGAGAATCATCAGCGGAGGTCTATCACATGCAATTCCATAGAACTAAAATGTCTGTCTGAATAGCTGACTTAGTGCAATGATCAATAATAACCTTGATGATGTTTGGGTCGTTGTATTCTGCCATAAGTTTCGCCTCCTTAATCATGCTTGTTCTCGCCTCAAGTAATTGTTCAGGTGATATTTTTTCAGTTGTTGGATGGCATATCTAAACACTAGCCTTGATTATACAGAACGTTGAGAGCTAGAAAAGTTCGCTTCGAATTCAATTGATTTTCTGTGCCAGAAAATTTTCTCGGACACTGACAATGTTTTAGTTAAATGGAGTAATATTCGACTAGACAGACATGCATATAGTCTGGCAATAAAAGGTTGACTACAATAACATAGACAATATTTATTGCAAATGGATGAGTTAAGCCTAGCTCTAGGCAGACGACGCCCAACATTTCCCATCTTAGGACAGCGACGTTGGACGTTAGGGAAGCTTATTTCGAAGTCAGAAATATCGACCAGCCTGAGCAGCATGAAAATGAGAGATATGATGAGATCAGCCATTAATTGAGCCGGATGTGAAACATTCTAAACAATGAGCTGGCAAAGAAATAGCCATAATTGTTGTGATCGACTGAGTGATATAGTCAGATGCTTGAAAAGCAATGCTAGCTAAACCGCTCATCGCGTCTAAACCGACCCCTTTCCGGCAACTGTATAG